GGGAGGTGGCTCCGCCCCTGAATTGTCGCGTTGTTAATTTCGCCCGATCGTAGTTGCGATGTCCCCGTTGGCTGCTGCGCATCGCTCTGCTGTTTGATTATCGTTCTCCACGTGTTGGATAAATGCAGAGCGTCGTCTCTCGTATTGAGGTGTCCGGACTTTTCTATTTCGATGGCCTCTCGTATAATCCTAGTCCTAAAATCAGGAATATTAGCTATTTGTTTGCAAGTGCCGAAATCAATTTTATGGTCTGTCTGATGTTGGTGCTGAAACAAAGCAGATGTTGTTTGTTTGTTTCTTATGGCTAAACGATGTTCCTCGAGCCTGGCTGAAATCCTTCTGTTGGTCTGTCCCACATACGTCAGGCTGCACGATCCGCATGCTACACTGTATACTCCTTGGTTTTCCAGAGTAATTTTTTGTTTTGGGTTTCTTAGTATTGCTCCGATGGTATGGTCAGGTTTGTATGCCGTTGATATGTCGTGTTTCCGTAATATTCGGCCGATTTTGTCAGTAACCCCCTTGATGTATGGCAGGACAGCGATCGATCTTCGTTGGGTCTCGTCCTGCACTCTCTGCTGCGGCTGTTGTTGTTTACTGATTGCCTTGCTGATGGTACGCCTTTGGTATCCGTTTTGTCGAAGACAGGTACTAATTTTCTTCAGTTCTTTATCTCTGTTCCTCTCGTTTGTGAGCCTGAAGGACCGAGCAATTAATGTATTTGCCACTGCCTGTATCTGTGATGGGTGGTGATGAGATTTAGCGTTCAGATATCTATTAGTGTGTGTTGGTTTTCTATATATATATATATATATATATATATATATATATATATATATATATATATATATATATATATATATATATATATATATATATATATATATATATATATATATATATATATATATATATATATATATATATATATATATATATATATATATATATATATATATATATATATATATATATATATATATATATATATATATATATATATATATATATATATATATATATATATATATATATATATATATATGACACTATATTCCGAGATATCATCCGTTCGCTTGTTGAACTCCGACTGGAATCCTGCAGACGTTTCGACAAAATCTAATTTGGCATCTTCAATGCTCGCGCTCCGAAAACACTTCGAACACTTGAGCAGAAATATTTTAAATAAAAATAATATCTAAGTTATTTGCTAATGCTATGTATCAGGTGGCCAATTAACAAAAGTAGTTCGCCTATCTCGAAAAGTAATTGTTGAAAAGACTTGGGGTGAAAAAACTTACAACTGAAGCGGCCAAGAAGAAATGCTAAAATATATTTTTAAATTTCTAGAATCGTGGCCAGGGAGGCTATTCGCATGTTTTAATTTTAAGTCCCGTTCTCTGAAAAGAAATATTATAATACAGAAAACTAAAATTAAACCCGTTTTAAAGATGGGATAAATTCGACTCTTTCTGGTATAACACTTTTTACTCTGCGTTTTCAATGTATTGAAAATAAACACGCCGCTTGTAAAACCTTTTTACAGGTAGAAAACTCATTTTTCACAAATACACCAAAATATAGCTTGCAGCTTTAATAAACACCACCGTTATAATTGTTATCTAAACTTTTTTTACCAATCATTTGAAATATAATTTTGCTAAAAGAACAAAAATGAGGAATTAATAATGGCAATTCCCAAAGATGCGACATTATTTTGAGTTTTTTTTTTAATTCTTTAACTGTTGATATACGTTAGGAAAAATATATCGAAATGCGGTATCCACTAGACTAGACTAAACTCTTATTTGGCTATCTTTTCTTGCAAAAAAAAGTGATATCTTAGAATTCAATTTTTTTTGAGAAACTAATTTTTATTTAGTGACGTCGCAAATCTACATCAATCCGCAGCGTTCATAGCGTAAAAAAGGCGCTTTTCAAAAACTCCAAATTTGAAAAAAATGCGTGCAGTCATTCTGAAATTATTAACAATTTTAACAATATTATTCCCTTAACAAATAGAGCGAGAACCATTTAACGTAAAAGAATCGAATTTATCCCAAATTTACACCGTTGTCCATTTTAGCTATTTGCAATATATCTGTATATATTATTTCTAAAAAAAGAATTTTAAGCTTTTCCTTTTGGTTTTAGTTTTGTCTTTATCTGTTATTTAAATTTCCTCGAATCCGGCCAGCATCGAAATATGCTCCTTGCTGTAATCTGTCGGAACAAAAGCAAATAAACCGAACATTGCCCTGATCAAAAATGAAAGAGTCTCTCCCTTGGCTTGAATTCACGGAAATTCGGCAACTCTAGTTAGATAAATATAAAAGTTTTTCTACTTGGAAACAATCAAACCTCAGGGAATATTCTGGAAAAATGATCGCGCCGGACGTTATATGTGATTAAATAAATGACTTACAATATTAATCCTGTCGGACACATTAAATATCAGAATGGTTCTTTCCTTTACGTCTGTGTATGTATTTTAGACACACCCCGAGGGAACTATTTTTCACGAACGAAAAACACACCCTGCTTTTGAAAACTAGATTACGAATTCGATAATTGAATCATATACGACCATGACCCAGTTTACTCAACGGCACACAAATTATTCACCAAACTGGAACAGTCTTATTGTCAAAAAAAATGTATAAATAAACGCCTCTTACAATTCTTGCAAATAAAATTACTTAAATCTAACCTTGTTATTATTGGAAATTTTGGAATGAATGAATGCCTCTGACAACCACATAACTTTTAAAGCAAACCAAAATTATATTGATAGGATGTCACAATTTGTATAATAAAAACGTTTTTTTAACATGATAGTATCGCTTTATGTTTAATTTCCTTTTGCCTTTTTAAGTTTTATCATTTTATCGCAAATCGGCTTGGCGTATTGAATAACGCGCTTCGTTTTATTTCCACATATTTTCTTTAACAACCTCTCGACGAAATACATATTTAAATTTATTTCGTAAATTCTCTACATTACTTGCATTCGGGTCGAGCACTGTTTTGCACGCGCCCAAATTGAATGATATTGTTTCCATGTAGCATTCCAATTTGAAGTTGAGTCTGCAAAACCTTGTCTATAAAATGGAAGCCTTAATGAATGCAAAATTCGATGCGAAAACAACGTGCCTCTGGACAAAACAATCCCCATAGCAAAAAGCACAATTAAAATTCCAAACACGACCGGCCAGAAAAATTTCCATAGTTTTTTCATCGCCAGACAAATTGCACTTCTGCATTTGTGATACACCTCAGCAATGTCTAAATTATATTGGATTAGTTGTTGTCGCACGTAGAAACTATAATCTTTGATTAGTGACAATATAATTAGAGCAGCAAAAAGTGTTGATAATGACTTTATTGTGTCGAGTTTAAACTGCAACTCGAAGCTATTGAAGGACATTTATCGCACACACTAGCGAGGACACATTGTTTACTATAACAGTCGCTCAAGCTGATCCTAAAATTCTTTCAACCCTGATTTACCTTATCTCACTTTCGCACAGAAAGTTATTGTCTTTGTTTTAACATCCATTTTGCTCGGTCACTCTATGTTATTAATGAAAGGTTTAGTTTTCATTTCTGAAACAAATTGCGATAATAAATTTAGTCCAAAATTGATCGAGGGTATGTGATTTCCTTACAATTAAAAGGTTACAATATATGGATATATATACGAAATATATTTTATGTTTTGTAGATCAACTCAACCCAAGCACAAAACGCAATGATTGACACATTGAATGATACCCAATAATATTATTTTAACCAAATTAATAAAATGCTGTGTATTACTGAGTCTTACTCAGTATACTAAGCACTGATTTCGACCGGGACCAAAACATCCCTGTTAAATAAAAGCCAAGCTTCACTTCGTTTACAATGTGTATGTGTCCAAGATCTTTCGAAATATTATGCATGTTGCATAGATCAAAAATTAAATTGCCAAGTGAACAAATACATATAATTCTTTTTTGATTCCAGGTTAGTTATGTTTTTGGCCCCCAAATCTACCCGATTTGATATCAAGTAAGTACACTAATATATTCTAAACATCACATTCGAGTGAATTACCTATCCAAACTTTTCCAATTAATTCAGTGTGCGTCTCAAAATAGCTACGCGCGAGGCACCTGAACATCCTCCGTATCATATTAGAGTATGATATCAATACTGAAAATAGTGACCGTAAATTTTTGACATCTAGACTGCCGTACTAAATTTAGATATTTCAAAATAGAGCCAACCATATAAATTGTTCGACATATATATGTTATCGATCGATATTCGAACATTTCTCTCTAGGTAAATATTTCGAGCTCTTTCAGGATGGTATTAACGCATTTGTAACGACACGCAAGTTATTTTTACATTTTCGAAACGTCTAAATGCGTTCAAATTGCCAAACGTTATTAAATTGAATATATCGAAATCAAATTTAGCTGTAAACATTGAAAATAAAATACATAAAACTACCCCGTTACATAATACTGAACTCGCAATGCCTAGAGGCTTTTAGTCTCACGGCGCCAACTGAAAATCCATTAACTAATTAGAAACTTAGGTGTTAATTCGAAACGCGAAAAGGACTATGTCGGCTTTTTTCCATTCGGTGGAAAAAACAAGTGGAAATTGGTTTCAGATGGATTCCAACAAAATCCGGGCAACTTTTAGCTAATTTTGGCATTTATATAGGGAAAACGATTTCCAATTCGTGTTTATTTGTGTCTGTATTTATTTATAGAAATAAATTTCAGTTATCCGAGTAGCTGAGTGTAAAAAATGACGAAATATTGCTTTGAAGTGCATCGAATGGAAAGAAATTCTGTGAATGGAAAAGGCGAGGAAGTTACGAATCTTTAATTTCCCCTCTTAAAATAAAAAAACAGATCACCCGTATTCATTTAAAATGTCGATTTCCAAATAGAACAAGATGATGAGTGTTGACTTGGTGACGTCAATGCATAGTGTCCGCGCCGAATGGAGATAAAACCTACCACTCATTAGTCCCACCCTCCAAGCCAATAATGCGTTTTCGATATCTAGATTAATTAGTTGATTACAGTGGGTAGTTTTCCGACAAAAGTGTGCGAAAAAACTCTTGACTATTTTCGAATGATCATCTTAGATAATTGTGATTGGATTAAAAGATCGTTAACCTGTCGAGAGACTAAAAGCTATATTTTCGCCGAGATACAGGCAAATTTTTGGGCCAAGTTATTAATAGCTAAGCAGGTTTTACTGCCATAACATAAGTGAATTAAACTCAATCGATTTGGTTTACCCGTGAAAGGTTTCGTTAAAATTGATGTCAATTAAAAACAACACAATGGTAGGTCCCAGGTGTTACTAAATTAATATTTTGAACGATCGCAAGTGTCAATATTGACTGGAAACGGTTTTATAATATCGGTATGATCGATAGTAACTGCCCACGGTAAGTAATCAATTTAGTAGTAAAGGAAAATGCCAAACCGCGTTCGATTTTTCGAAATAATACTCAAACCCAAATGAAAAATCGTATGTATTCAATGACGTTCCAGGGTCTCGCATTTAAATAAGCCCTCAATTTAGTCAATACGCTATAAAACCTAGGCCCTGGTTATCAAATTAAGTTTTATTAAGTTTACGAATGTAAACACGTGTGACGACGATGACATTAAACTCCGGCGCAACGAAGTTTGACGAAATAAAAGAATAAATATTATTTTACTATTAAACCCACAAAAGGCTGGTTAACAAAGCAGTTTGTCGACTTTTTTACTTTAATAAAACTTTGCATGAAGTTGAAGCCGGCCTTAAGGATATCCGTTGAAGTTTTATCAAAGTCTTACACAGTGAGCGGAATTAGATTTAAACACGATCAATGGTGCTTGATTTTCGACCTTTCAATTATTTGTTACTCTCCTCTAAGGATTCGGATTGTATTTCCACAACATTGGGAATCGTTCAATCCGAGGGTCATTGGAACCAAATTCGGTGATTCTAATATAGCGGCTGCATTGATTGAACGAGGTCTCTAGATAAGAGCTAATTTTGGTAGAAATCGATAACGATCCTAAATAAATAATACACCTAGGGAGTCATATTTAACAAATCGATACGTCAACTACGAATATTGACTCGGTTGAATAATTTGAAGTTCCACATATCAATTATTACCGGCACCGTATGGCATTTTTTTCGTTAAAAGATACCCATTTACGCTGACAAGTTAGAAATCAATCAATAGTTGTGGAGATGCAGTGGGGGAATACCCCCAAGTTACGGTCTTAAAGAAATGGGAATGATCATTAAACACTATTTAAGCCACCCAATGTAACAACAAAAGAGTAATTTAGACATTCTCAAAAATTACAACCGAATTATTGGGAATTTGCATTCGAAACAAGCTGTCAATAACTGATAATTAGTTGGCATCATGATCCGGTTCATACGAACATCAATAAATGGGACTAAATTCATTTCCAAGATAATCGTGCTTAAAAACTGAGGAAAACAATAGATCTACTTTTGAATGAGTTATTAAAAACCTTTCATTATACAAAGTTGCTAATTGTTTCGATTTTTATAACCATTAAACTATGAATAACGGAGTTCGTATCCAATAAGGTCATACGAATACGTTTGAATCAATAATCTACTAACGCATTCCCTGTGTATGTGGACAATAGGCGACCAAAAGTACTTGATGCACTTTATAATTTAGTAGTTTTTTAAGACGATAACTAAGTTGTATACTAATAAATCGAGGAAAATTTACTGGGTTTATTGTGGATACATCCAGAACAAAAGTGGAACAAGCTATATAATAAAAGATCAACGGATAGAAAAAGCAGGACCTTTATCGATCTAATTTAGGTCAAGAAAAGTGGTCGGCTGTTGCTCTACTAGGCGCAAAGGAAATGAGACATAAAACCCAACAATCTGAAGAGATAAAAATAAACCAAAGGATAAACGAAGTGCCTAAAGGTTGCTTTTACGTCGATTGTCTTAATACGAACTAAATAAATGTTTCACGTATACAAATTATTGCAGTTTGATTAAGTCTGCAGACGTGATTTAAATTTAACTCTTTTAATACGTTGTTCGGAAACAAAATCCTTTAGGAGTAAAATGTTACCAGAAATTTGTCTAAAATTTCACTTGTAACCTCTGATCTTGAGAGTTACATCATAACGCTATAGAGGATAAATTTACAAAGATTTCCATCAACCGTTTATTTGAGGCTGAAATAACAAGTCGATTTGGTTTGCAATTTAAATAAGAAAAAATAAATAGCTTCCGCTTAAAATCTCCTAAAATTACCAAATATAATAAAATTTGTCAAATGTCCATATACAAACAAGCTTTTTTTTTATCATCTGTATGTTTCATGTGCTATCACCGCGAATTAATTTTATTTTAAGAGGCAACGCGAACCTGCTCTAAAGAGCAGTAAACATATTATACTAATGTAATCTGTAGATGTTGACTATCCCAAAAATAATAATAATAATAATTTACAAAACCATTTTCTAAATATTTTTCTGAGCACTTTTAGCAACCTGACTGTCTATCGAGCCAACTTGTTCTTTCTTACATTAATTTTTAATTTTATATCGTAATTTTTACATTTCAACTGCCGAGATTGTTAAACTCACATCAGCAGCGCTCCGCAGTGGTGGGGTATCCGATTCTGTTTTATTTGTATTTTTGCAGACCTTCTCACACAGACGTATTACTATTTACTAATTGCTAAGCAATGTGAGCTGATAAATGGAAAATAGAATCCGGCTTATTTAAATAGATTTAGAAATTCAAGCCGATCGCTCAAAAGCACTTTGATTAATTCGAGTTCTAAATATATCACCAATCGGTCGATACGAGCTTTGAGTATAAAATAATGTTGGAAGAAATAGAAACAGGTGGTACTGCACAAACTTCTGTGCATGTTTCAGCCACCTAAGTATTCTAACTTAGTGTTATAATATAGTATAGATTCTCCACTATGAAGGTGGACAATTTTTTGCGCTTAAAATAATGTTGAATAGTTATGGGGCGAAATAATGGAAACTCGGTAATTTTTTAAGGGTATCGTGGGGGCCTAGGCGAGAGGAGACATGTCCGTCGTCTCTGACTCGTTCTCTGAGGAGGAGCGCAGTCTATTCCGTCCATTCACCCGCGAATCGCTCGCCGCCATCGAGGCTCGAATCGCTGAAGAACATGCCAAGCAGAAAGAGCTCGAAAAGAAGAGAGCTGAAGGAGAAGTATGTCAAAAAACACCTTTTATGTCACACTATCCTCCACTATCACTTCGCAATCTTTTCTTTCTTCTTACGTATTTTTTTCTATCGTCTACCAATTCATTTCGCAGACGCCAATCATCATTCTCGAACTTTTTGGTATTCGTGCTAATTAACGTATTCCTGTTGTTTAAACGTTAACAATTAGAACGCAACATTCGGAAATTATAAACTTCATCTCGAGTTGCGCACCAAAATATTTCTAATATTTTAACTTCGAATTGCAATTATCTTAATCATTTTTGCGCATTGGAGGATAACTGACTTTGCCCTAGTTCTTTTTGGCAAATGTGATTTGACTCTCTGAGTGGTGAATGCTGAATTATCAATTCGATGACGCGTTTAATCGTAAATGAACAGAAAGAAGCATTCTAGCCCGCATCTACGTATACAGCCGCTACGTCGCTGTATCTTGTACATTGCTTTTAGCTCAGGCGACTTAATTTGACTAACTTGCTATTGTATAAAAAATTCTATGTTGCTACTACGTCTATGCATGATTTATTTTGTTGTTGTGACACTCTTGCATCTACAAATAGGTACATTAAAGGCTATACCCTAAAACTGGCGGTCATAAAATTAAATTGAAATTAAACCGTTGACTCTGAAGTCGTACCATTGATTTTAAGTTTTATTTTCCATGATAATAATGGACTTTTTTACCCTACATTCTCATCACATAACATCACAATCATTCGTCACGGTATCCCATGTATATAAAACATTCCACATTAATAATTTGCTGTATTTAAAAAAAATCACAGCGCTGAAAATACGGTCAGCGTTTAAAAAATTTGAGACGTTTATTGTGGTGTCAGTAGATAGTATTTTGAAGCAACGTTGACGTGGCTTATCGGTGTTAAACTAAATAACCTTTATTGCAGACTGGTTTTGGACGAAGGAAAAAGAAAAAAGAAGTAAGATTTTTCCAAGTGAAAATGCTCTGAAAGAGTTGCTTTTTTAGCTAATCAACGAAATGCTTCTGACGATTTTCTAACGCATATATCGTCAGTTGCATAGAAATTCAAAGCTTGTTTTATTTGCGCTGCTTTAGGCCACTTGATAGTGATTCAAACGGCTTCTGATTACATATTTTTAAAGCCTCTGGTTACATGGCGTATATTTGTCATTCGACGTTGTTTGAATCACCACGCACGATAGTGCATTTTGAACCCGCTTCCCACAAAATCAACACAGACGACGAACATGTTAATAAATAAAGCTACCACTGAAAGTAGCTAGTACACAAGCAAAATACAGGCGTGCAAAACACCGTATACCCACTCACATTTTACACAATTAAAGTTAATGAATTTTTGAGGCAATGTAGACCATAGGACTTCTTTAGATTTCATTACTGTTTTTGTATGTTAGAAGTTAGACAGCAAGTTGATGACAGGCTGCTTTATATACTTTAGGTATGACTGCCATTCGTTGGGTAGATAGCCACACATTTAGAACACAATAATACACCGCTCTTACTGTTAATACGGTTTTCATATTTGTTAAACACGCAATTGTTTAACGAAATATGATCAGATATATTATACTTTTTAACAGCAAAACAAGCTACAGTAAACTGTTTCCTTAATAATAACGCAAGCGAACGTGGTGCGGCATACAAACCTACAACTATACAGAAATATTAGATTATCATAGTATCTGCATGTTGCATTGATGAACAATTTGTTCTTAGATTAAGAGTTTTTACTGTAGATTTTTTTGCATTAAAAAGATTTTCGAAAATTTTGCAGTGTATTTACCAAACCGGCTTACAAAAATACGAAAGCGGGATCAGATCGCTGGGGGAGACAGTCGACAATGATGAGTGTTGATGGAGATGTTTCGATCTTCCGTTGTTAATAAATGTTTGTCTTAAAAAGTTAGGCTAATGCAATGCTTGGCAATGATAAAATTAAAAATATTTGTTCGGATGGTTGACGGACATTCTAGCAGCCAGATCAGTCCAACTTTATAAGAGTAGCAACCGAACGCAATGGAAGTCTAGGAAATATCTCCTATGTACAATATTTCTGCTTCCTTTGAATTTTCCGACTTTTCTCTCTTCCATTTTCTTTAGAAATGTAGGTTTGCTAATTTAATTCGATTCTCCCACATTATATATTATCAAGTTTCAATGTTATTTTGAAATACGAAAATTAAAAAATGACAAAATACATGTTTGAAGATTTTCGAAATTTAACTACTTAAACAAACTGCTATTGACAGATTCGGTATGAAGACGAGGACGAAGATGAAGGCCCCCAACCAGATCCCACTCTGGAACAAGGTTTGCCAATTCCAGTACGTCTGCAAGGTTCTTTTCCTCCAGAACTTGCGAGCACACCACTCGAGGACATCGACCCCTTTTATAGTAACCAATTGGTAAACGATATTTAACTACCGCATTAATTTAGCGTCATATATAAATCCTACACAAGCGAAATCTTGGTCGAAAGTATCAACCAATTTATTTGAGGTGATGATAGACTCCAACGAATACCCGCTTCATCTACAAGACAAATTTTATTTCCTTGCTTTAGAAAAACAATAATGCCATTAAATATTATGCAATTTGATAAGGGTTGAGATTGAAGTTGAAGGTAAGATTAACTTGGAAAAACCGAAAATAGTGCCCGCAAAACTGAAATAAAATATCAAATGTCAACAATTCTGAATAGCAACGACCAACAATAAGGAGTCAATACAATTTTTAACCGATTTTAGGTCTTTCGTCCAATTCACAAATATAGCTAGTTTTAAGGTTTGCTAAATTCAGTAAAATCAATAAATTCTTAAATCAGTACGTAATGATCTTGAAATCTTACATTAAATTAATTAAATATCTTAAAATATTCGTACTAGAAACTATGCTGTATGCAAAAACAAATTTATATGCGAAGCAAACTTTTTTTATTTCAAAGTTAATATTTTGGCCTAAATTTTCCCCAAAGTTCGCTTGTGTACAGAAGACGGTGGAAAACCGACGACAGATTCGAATAACCCTTAGAATAAATCTATAGATTGAAATAATCCAGGAAATCAATTCACACAAGACATTTTAATCGATGCACACTTTTATACAATTGTCCGGATGGGAGATTTTATTTAGTGTGGATTGAAACAAGCAATAAAAAGTTTTCTTTCCGTTGTTTCAGACGTTTGTAGTAATAAGTAAAGGGAAGGACATATTTCGATTCAGCGCAACAAATGCCCTTTGGATTTTAGATCCTTTCAATCCAATCCGTCGCGTCGCCATTTATATTTTAGTGCATCCTTTGTTTTCACTTTTTATTATTACAACAATTCTAGTCAATTGCATCCTCATGATTATGCCAACAACTCCCACCGTAGAATCAACCGAGTAAGTACACACAATCTAGTATTAGCTAATTAGTAGGTGATGATATACAGGATATTCCCAAAAATTAAAACAGGAGCCAATGCAAAATTTTAATGGTTCATCTAAAGTTTGCACCAAAATTACTTCAATGAACAATTAAACTGATATTAAAAACACCAGTGCGGTATGTCTTAATGAAACTTTTAAAGGAAGGTTTGTTGTTGATACATATTCTAATGTCCATTCATGAAAAATTCTAAAAAATGCAAGGTCTGGTGTTTGTATAGCTTTCCTATTTTGTTGGCAGTGATCTTCCCTGGTCACTTACTTGATCCATGATATTTGGGATACTCGTGTATAGTTCTGAATTATCCAGAATATTCTATTCTAGAACTAGAAGGCTTTATTTTGGTGTGCCTTAGCGTAGAAAGTGTCGTTTTGTACTTTTCAGAGTGATATTCACTGGCATCTATACCTTCGAATCAGCTGTGAAGGTGATGGCGAGAGGATTTATTCTTCAACCGTTCACCTACCTTAGAGATGCATGGAACTGGCTCGACTTCGTAGTCATAGCTTTAGCGTGAGTAGAATAGTCTATTAGAAAACGACATAGATTCCTAGAATTTAAGCTCGACACAAGCGCATAAGCATTGACGAATTGTCGCAAACATAATAATACAAAATCGTCATCGCATATAACGTGAAATAAGATCATATGAGTATAGAGTTGCTGTTGTAACTGTAGACACATCTCCGTTTGATGTAATTTCTATAGCACCTACTGCCAACAAGACACTTTCGTCTCCTACAATATCGTTTTTGCAAAGATGCAAATCGACCTAACCCTACTACTCCACAGACGTAAGACAATTGTCTTTAGTAAAGCTATTAATTAATTTTCGAAATGTGAATCCATGTGAGTGAATATACCGATTAATTATCATTGTTTTTCTATTAGTAGACTAAACTTGGTAGCTATATCTACATTGAATTTATTTAGATGGACATATTGTAGATTTGGAGACCATCGATTAGGATTATTCCATAGTTTAGAATCTAGTATAACATGTACTTCTGATAGATTTGTACTAGTACCCGACCCACTTCCTAGTACTTAGATTAAAATAAAATTGTGTTAAAAATATGCATTATGACAACCAATTTCTTTTTTATACTAGTTTATGTAATAAGTATCAGCAGCTTATTAGAAAATATTAGATGCGATGCAGTTACCACTATCAACGTGACTAATTTCTTATTCGAAATTCCAGTTACGTTACTATGGGTATAGACCTGGGAAATCTAGCTGCCTTAAGAACATTTAGGGTACTTCGTGCCCTAAAAACCGTAGCCATTGTGCCCGGTAAACTAGCCAACTTCTAGTTCACCTGGCAATAGCGTTGGCATCACCGTTTTTGTAGGTTTGAAGACCATCGTAGGAGCTGTCATAGAATCTGTAAAAAATCTACGAGATGTGATAATTTTAACCATGTTTTCTCTCTCCGTTTTTGCTTTAATGGGTTTACAAATTTATATGGGCGTTCTAACTCAAAAATGTATCAAAGTTTTCCCGATGGACGGATCGTGGGGCAACCTTACGGACGAGAACTGGGACAGGTTCAACAAAAACGAAAGTTAGCAACCCGAACCCATAGGATTATTGATTACTAACGAACCCATTTTAGCTAACTGGTATTACGACGAAGGGAATATACCTCTCTGTGGAAATTCTTCAGGTGCTGGCCAGTGCAAACCGGGCTATATTTGTCTGCAAGGTTACGGAGACAATCCAAACTACGGATATACCAGCTTTGATACATTCGGTTGGGCCTTTCTTTCTGCCTTTAGATTAATGACTCAGGACTATTGGGAAAATTTATATCAACTGGTAAAACGAATAAAATTTCCCTACACGCGATATCGAACGATATCAATTCTTTTGTAGGTTTTGCGTTCAGCTGGTCCATGGCACATGTTGTTTTTCATAGTGATTATCTTTCTAGGATCTTTTTATTTAGTTAATTTAATCTTAGCCATTGTCGCTATGTCGTACGACGAATTGCAGAAGAAGGCTGAAGAGGAAGAAGCTGCCGAAGAAGAGGCGATAAGAGTAAGCATCGGACAAATAATCGCTTCGGTCGGGACATTGTTTCGATATACTTGTAGGAAGCGGAAAAAGCTGCTCAAGCGAAACAAGATCGAGCAGACGCAAGAGCTGCTGCGGCAGAGGAAGCGGCGAGAGTCGCGGCCGGTGGGGGCACGGCAGGTAGTACCGACATCGTAAAATCGCCTTCGGACTTCTCGTGTCACAGCTATGAGCTATTTGTGAACCAACCCAAAGGACAAGACGATAACAATAAGGAGAAGATGAGCATAAGATCGGAAGGATTAGATTCTGTGAGTGAGCAGAGAAGAATACCTACTAACCCCACCAAGATGCGGAAAGTCAGCGCTGTAAGTGTCCTGATTTATTTTGAACCCCCTGATTGATATTAGATATTTTGTTAAATGACATTATTCTAAATTACCGAAGACGAGCGAAATTGAATATAAAAATCACGACAATTATAGTGTTTAGACTTCGTTTGCCGAGCATCATTTCTGTAGATGGTGTTTGACAAACGCCGTGCACTTATACTTTTAGTTGTCACTGTTCATTTCCAGTATCCATCATTTGCAACCCCCACTTTGGTTTTTAGAGTAGCAGTCATTTTGATTTTTCATTAGTCCTTTGCGTCCTTCTTCATATCATGAAACACGCGACATGGCCAGATCCGAATTATACTTCCAACAGGTCTTTACATTACGCCCTGTTAGTTTCTCATCGAAACCATCAATTAAATAATCTAAATGCCTCACGCATGTATAGACCATGTCCCGTGTTCAGGCCAGTCTGAGTCTACCCGGATCTCCATTCAACTTGAGGCGAGGCTCCAGAGGTAGCCACCAATTCACATTGCGCAACAATCGACGCATGGTGGCGCCCCCTGGTGACCGCAAACCCTTGGTACTGTCTACCTATCTTGATGCCCAGGAACATCTTCCTTACGCCGACGATTCTAATGCGGTCACTCCCATGAGCGAGGAGAATGGAGCCATGGTAGTTCCAATGTACTACGCCAATCTTGGTACGTATATCAATGCTCATCTTTGTCAGTAATCGAAGCTCCGATCAAAGTTTACTATACGATATATTCAGGGCCAACTGCAGTTTAATGCATTGAGCGTTTCATCTGTTAAAATTTAACAAGATTTTGTGCACAATATGGAAACCAAAGATGTCTGCTGCGATTTTTTTAATTAAATTCTTAATGTTTGATTAACTTTTGGTAATTAAAATTTTATTTTTTGACCCAGACTATATGCCAGTCGTATTCTGTAAAACGTGGAAATGATTTTCAAACTTGCAAAGCTGTAAAGATCGTGAAACTCCAAATTATATCTTAGACTGGATCAGATTCCATTACACATTTTTGCCACCTTCTATTTTCAACAGCTGTATATTTAGGTTATCAATACAGGGTGCAGTAATTTTTCTTAGAATAAATAAATCGAAAATCATTTGCGTCCCTGTGCAAATAACCTAAAATTTTAATTTAAAAATGGCGCACAAATGTATATAATTTTCTTTTCCGTGTTTTGATATTTCGCCAAAAAAAATGTTCGTTTAAAAAATGTAGGTTCCTAAAAGAAGGACTCTAACTTAAATGTATTGGTATGTTTGCGCCAAATAAACGATGCTTCCATTATTGAGAGGGCATTACGTCCACTGTTCACGAGCACTAATCACCGACGTATCCAGAATGCCAAGGGTAATAAATTTATAATACGAAAAATCTCAATTAGGTTCACGTCACTCATCGTACACTTCGCATGCTTCACGGATGTCTTACACCTCTCACGGAGATCTATTAGGTGGTTTTGGGGGAAATGGAAAAATGATGACGAAGGAAAGTCAACTAAGATGTCGCTCTATGAGAAATGGGCCAGCGATGGCACCAAATAATTATACGGAATACACTCAGAAGCGTATGGGAGATTACGTAAGCCATCAGTTTAACTTTTTTGAAAAAGAATTCTTCGAGAAAAAGTAACATATTTACGATTCCCTAGGATGGACCCACTGGGCAACTTTGCGAAAAAATGAAGCACTTAGACAATCCCTTTATCGATAATAATACTCAAAGGCAAACGATGGTTGAATTAAGAGGTGCTTTTTTATTAACATCTAAGAATTGTTAGCTATAAAGCTTGTAATTTTTAGACGTCATGGTGCTCAACGACATCATAGAACAGGCAGCCGGTAGGCAAAGCGGCGAAGGTGATCACGGAGGTGAGCAATCCTTTTGTTTTGGCATTGTTTTCCTTTCATTCATTGAAAAAAAAACACACCATCGTAATTTGCTTCCTTACGTACCATGCCCAGCAACCCTAGAATTGCTGGAATGTGAACTAATCGAGTTTTATTTTTATTTTAATTTAATCAAATGGAGGATAAATTAACGAGAAAATCTTAATTAGGTAAATAAATAAGGGCGATTTATTAAGAGGTGTCGCACAAATAATTGTTATAGAGCACCAAGTTGGGTAGGAAATATGTGTTGGAATATTTAGTCGTCAACCAAAAACGTACACAGTATCCATTAGTTTAACTTCCAAATACTGTGTTCGTTACCCCAATCTAGATTCGTAATTCGAACTTTAGTTTAGATGATTTAGTGTCAGAAATATGTTAGCGCTCAGTGTTTATTCATCTAGTATATAGAGTAAATAGCATTTCGTACCCACAAAAATCCATACCATACCCCAAAACTCATAACGCTGCAAACACACGAGAGCGCACTTGCTTTGTTTGTCATATCGTTAATCTAACAGCAAGCAATTTCGATGGTGTATTCAAAATACTAATGTTTCAGCATTTTAACCGAGTCTTCTACAGACTCGAACACTTTCGCATGATTCCGTGCGTTTGGTTAATCAGTTAGGAGTCATGCGTTGTGTATTGCTTGCTTTAAGGCGACCGTCTAAGGACAAGATATTCTTAACCGGCGGTTAAGAATGGCTGTCGCACTGTCGCGTCTTGCACTAAAACCTCTTTCCCCAAAAAAGAGTGTGTCAACTTCAATTTTATTAATTTTCCGTACAGTTTCCGTTTATTATTTCTCAGCCAAGAATGAGGAGGAGGAAGATGAGGAACAAGAGGAACCGACTATTAAAGAGCGTCTACTGGAATGGACTCTAAAAGTGATCGATATGTTTTGCGTATGGGATTGTTGCGCTTGTTGGATAACGATTCAAAAAAGCGTAGCATTCATAGTATTTGACCCGTTCGTAGAGTTATTTATTACGTTGTGTATTGTCGTAAATACATTGTTCATGGCCTTGGACCACTATAATATGGACCACGATCTGGAACGTGCACTCAAAAGCGGCAACTATGTAAGTCGGATACTTCTTCACAGATGGCAAAAGTATTGCAAATCTGATTCTAGTTCTTCACGGCGACCTTCATGATCGAAGCTTCCATGAAACTAATAGCGATGAGCCCGAAATATTACTTCCAAGAAGGCTGGAATATCTTCGATTTTATTATAGTGGCCCTATCTCTGTTGGAGCTCGGCCTTGAAGGAGTGCAGGGTTTATCAGTGTTACGGTCCTTTCGACTGGTAAGTTGTTTTCAAACACAACGCGACATTGGCCAAAAAATTCCGACTTTTAGCTAAGGGTGTTCAAACTGGCCAAATCTTGGCCAACTCTGAATTTGCTCATATCAATCATGGGAAGAACTATGGGAGCTCTCGGTAACTTGACATTCGTCTTGTGTATTATCATCTTCATATTCGCTGTGATGGGGATGCAGCTTTTCGGCAAGAATTACTGGGGTATACTATGCTTTACAAGACATTCTTCACGGTCTAAAACCACGCTATATCTTTTATAGATAACGTTGACCGATTTCCCGATCATTCGATGCCACGATGGAATTTCACCGACTTTATGCACTCATTTATGATAGTATTTAGGGTATTGTGCGGCGAATGGATAGAATCGATGTGGGATTGTATGTTGGTTGGAGACGTCTCCTGCATTCCGTTTTTCTTAGCTACTGTGGTGATTGGTAACCTTGTGGTACGTAAAAATTTCGCACCATCTCATTCTACCGCCTCACGATTATATTTTGGCAGGTTCTTAACCTTTTCTTGGCTCTGCTTTTGAGTAACTTTGGTTCGTCAAGTTTATCGGCACCAACCGCAGATAATGATACTAACAAAATTGCCGAGGCTTTTGACAGAATTGGACGTTTTATCGACTGGATTAAGATGAATTGTTTGAATTTTGCAAAACTTGTCCGTTTTAAGCTGACGAACCAGATATCCGATCAGCCGCCAGGTGAGGGACCCTCCAACAGTTGGAACCAAGGTTTTTATCCAACAATCTCATAGCTAGATGGATTCATGCTTGTTGCTCAACCGTAGTGCTTTTCAAGTTCGATGAGGTTCTAGCATGTATATATTCAATTACAGGATATCCTTGTCCGTCACAAATCACTTTTTTAAAAAATCAATTATCGAAACGACTAACGACGAACTTTCTTATAACGATACGTTATGCCCAGTAGAAACAGAAAGCATGTCTAGACTAGAGAGTACAGAAAAAACGGTCTTTTATTTTTATGCTTAAAAGATACTGCGGACATTGAATGTCGTTGAGTAAAAGCTTATCAGCCGCTGAAAACGATATCACGTCTAGCCGGTGGAGTACTATTCAGTGCCGTTAGTTACACCCGAGCACCAAAAATAAATGAATCGCTTAAGTTTGTTAGAAAACTTAAAATGTCAATTTTAATTAATTTTAGTCACGAACTTTTTTTTGTAGAAACGTATATAGTCAGAGCATGGTGTATAACGGTTAACTACGTGTTTACAAATTCACAGCTTCATTCCAACTGTTAAACTACAATCTACGATATCGCGAAAAGTCGAATTAAGAAATCTGTTTTGTAGATACGCGCGATGGTGGTTTAGACATACAAGGTGATGAACTTTTAGCAGACGGAATTATATTTAAAGATAAGAAGAGTCCTAAAGATAGACTAGAAGTGACCATCGGAGATGGAATGGAGTTCACCATACATGGAGATTCTAAAACCAATTCAAAGAGGGGCAAAAATCTAAATAATATAAACAAAAGTAAAACCATTGGCAATTCTATTTTAGAACACGATTTTATTGGACATTTAGACGACGACGAAATTAGTAATAAATCATACGGTAGTCATAAACATAGATTTAAAGATGAAAGTCACAAAGGTAGCGCCGACATTTTGGACGATCATGAAGAAAAACGCGATGCTAGTAAAGAGGAACTGGGGATTGAAGAAGGTAAGCAACTGAATGTAAATGCAAACATAAAATGCTGACTTCAAATTAGGATAATTTACGTCCATGTAATTGCTACGCCTAATGCTTAGTTATCAAACCCTATACCATGCTGTTGCGAGCTTTCAGTCTGTCTTAACTAAATCATATAAATGTTTCATTAGTTACCCTCAAGGACCACCACTCAGGACATTCCACATCCACTGCCGTCATAAAAAGTAAATAAACAATATATTAAACCTTCCTTTGATTTCCGCACCGATTTAAAATTTGGGTTTTGGATTTTGAAATTCTCTTTCCGCTGACAGTTTCGTTAATATTGCAAAAAGCGCCGTTTAATATTTTACTATCAGTGAGCATTGGAATCTAAGCAGTACTAACCACGTTTTACATTTTTAAGTTGTTGGCAATATTAAAGCGACTTTTTACGCAGAATCATCGTATTTTAGGATTGGATGAGGACGAATCCGACAGTCAAGGACAATTAGAAGAGGATTCAATTATAGACGCAGCAACGGACGATATAATCATCGACGAATATTCCGCCGATTGCTTTCCCGAAACTTGTTACAAAAAATTTCCGTTCCTTGCCGGTGACGAAGACTCGCCATTTTGGCAGGGGTGGGCTAACTTGCGCTATAAGACGTTTCGCCTCATCGAAAACAAGTATTTCGAAACCGCCGTTATTACCATGATTCTTCTGAGCAGTCTGGCGTTAGCGCTTGAAGATGTCCACTTACAACAGAGGCCCATTTTGCAAGATATTCTTTACTATATGGATCGTATATTCACCGTGATATTTTTCTTCGAAATGTTGATTAAGTGGCTGGCTTTGGGTTTTCAAAAATACTTCACCAACGCTTGGTGCTGGTTGGATTTCGTAATCGTTATGGTTTCGCTGATCAATTTCATTGCATCCCTATGCGGCGCCGGAGGCATTCAAGCCTTCAAAACCATGAGAACGCTTAGAGCTTTAAGGCCTCTACGCGCGATGTCGAGGATGCAAGGAATGAGGGTATTTACGAAATTACTTTCCCGCAAAATCCATTAATGAAACGGACATTTGTGTTGTAGGTGGTAGTAAATGCTCTAGTTCAAGCTATCCCATCTATCTTTAACGTATTGCTAGTATGCTTGATATTTTGGCTTATATTCGCTATAATGGGTGTGCAGTTATTCGCTGGAAAATATCACAAGGTAATTAATTTCGCATCAAATTATAATATGCTGATGGCCGTTTTATGCTTTTTCAGTGCGTAGACAACAACAAGGTCACACTCAGCTGGGAAATTATCCCCGATTACAACGCTTGCAAAGCGGAAAACTACTCCTGGGACAACTCCCCTATGAATTTTGACCACGTCGGTAAAGCGTATCTCTGTCTATTCCAAGTCGCAACATTCAAAGGATGGATCCAGATCATGAACGACGCTATCGACTCCCGAGAAGTACATCAAACGTTCACTAGTACAATATACACGACACTGATTAATATTGTTTACAGCTGAACAAGCAACCCATACGAGAGACCAACATCTACATGTATTTGTACTTCGTGTTTTTCATCATATTCGGTTCGTTCTTCACCCTCAACCTGTTCATAGGAGTAATCATCGACAACTTCAATGAGCAGAAGAAAAAGATAAGTGCTATTTATTTAAAACAATTTCTATGTTGTCGGCCGTCAAAAACATTAATGGTAATTTTACGCAGGTGGATCGTTGGAAATGTTTATGACGGAGGATCAGAAGAAATATTACAACGCGATGAAGAAGATGGGTTCCAAGAAGCCGATGAAAGCCATACCTCGGCCAAGAGTAATAACGGCATACCCTGAACGATTATAAACGATAACTTTCTTATTTTATTTGCAGTGGAAGCCTCAGGCGGTGGTGTTTGAAATAGTGACCAACAAAAAATTCGACATGATCATCATGTTGTTCATAGGACTCAATATGTTAACGATGACCATGGACCACTATCAACAAAAAGAGACGTTCACCAAAGTTTTAGACTATCTGAATATGATTTTCATAGTTATATTTACTACAGAGTGCCTCATGAAAGTGTTTGCTTTGCGTTATCACTATTTTACGGAACCATGGAACCTTTTCGATTTAGTGGTGGTCATATTATCGATATTAGGTCTAGTTCTCAGTGACATTATCGAGAAATACTTTGTTTCGCCCACGTTGCTGAGAGTAGTGCGCGTTGCTAAAGTCGGACGAGTTCTTCGATTGGTTAAAGGAGCGAAAGGAATACGCACGTTACTGTTCGCACTCGCTATGTCACTGCCTGCGCTCTTCAACATCTGTTTGCTGCTCTTCTTGGTCATGTTCATATTCGCAATTTTCGGGATGTCGTTCTTTATGCACGTCAAGGACAAAAGCGGCCTCGATGACGTTTACAACTTTAAGACCTTCGGACAATCTATGATCTTATTATTTCAGGTGAGTCGGTTACAAAAATCGGTCGATACAGCTCGAATACCTTCAACACATTTTAAATTTAATACGTTTTTACTTTTTCCTCTATGCGTTAAAACTGCAGCACGATTGACTAGAATACTTTATCTCTTGCACATGTGGAACAATGCGAAATGAATAGGCACAGATTTTTTGTGTTGACTATAAGTTTCTAGGCATTTTAGGTTTGTTCTCACAGCCCATCTCGAACAAGCTAAGTTTTCCAAATTAGTGGGTTATCCGTATCTGAATAAAAAAATCAAATGTGTTGACCCGACCATTCAAAATCACTTATTTTCTTATTACTTGAACAACAAAGCTTCAATAACAGCAGCACATATAATTCAGAAGTTTTATTTGGACAGAATACTTTCGGTTTAACAATTTGTTTCTTGTTTTCTGTGATGACAGACCCAAGAGACACCATGTCTTTATCAACATTTGATAAAGACACGGTGTTGTCGAAACAATTGTCATATCATAATATATAATTTCGTGAAAATCTGAACTTTTAGTTCTTATTTATTTTGATAAATGGATTTTCATCAAGTAAAAGCCACCTCAGTTCAATTTTCAAAAAATATCTTTTATTTTTTAAGCAAATCGTTTTAATCATATTTTCCGAAGTCTGCAGTGTTACAGCACTAGTGAAAATATAGAAATAGACATTATCGTGAGTTAAGGTTGGTGTAAATTTGAAAACAAACTGTACATGTGTTATCTTAGAGATTCTTGATCGGAATTATTATTAAGGAAATTACTTGGGAGCGAAAAGAAGGAAGTTTATATTAACAGAGGTGCACGGAAAAAAATTATTAACGATTGGTCTAAAAATTATCTTTTGATTATTTTGACGAACATGAATAGAAATTATCATTCCAAAATTAGAAAACTTGTTTGAATCGACTTTGATTCGTTGATTATTTTCAAGATGTCAACGTCCGCTGGGTGGGACGGTGTCCTGGACGGCATAATAAACGAAGAGGACTGTAAACAACCCGACAACGAAATCGGGGAGACCGGCAATTGCGGCAACTCTACAATCGGCATCGCTTTCCTGCTCAGCTACTTAGTGATATCGTTCTTAATTGTTATAAACATGTATATCGCTGTTATATTAGAAAATTATTCTCAAGCCACGGAAGATGTCCAAGAGGGTCTAACGGATGACGATTACGACATGTACTACGAAATCTGGCAACAGTTCGATCCAGACGGTACCCAGTACATTCGTTACGATCAACTTTCCGATTTCCTGGACGTATTGGAACCGCCTCTCCAAATCCATAAACCGAACAAATACAAAATCGTTTCGATGGACATTCCCATATGCAAGGGTGATCTGATGTTTTGTGTAGATATTTTAGACGCGCTTACGAAAGACTTCTTCGCGCGTAAAGGCAACGCCATTGACGAAACTGCCGAACTTAGCGAAGTACAACCGCGGCCTAACGAAGTCGGTTACGAGCAAGTGAGCACCACATTGTGGCGGCAAAGGGAAGAATATTGCGCGAGGCTCATACAAAACGCATGGAGAAAACATAAACGGAGTCGGGGAGCCCCGGATCAATCCGGCGACGAAGGGGAGGGAGATGGTGACGGTGAACCGGAAGCGCGACAAACGGCTGTTCTAGTAGAGAGAAATGGCCACAAAGTGGTGATCCATAGTCGGACTCCCAGTATTAGTTCACGGTCGGCAGACGTATGAGACAGGCTGCGTCCCTCCCCAACATCTCCATAGCACGACCAATGTCGCGCCACAAAATGGCCAGAAGCATGGCCGTTATCTCGGGTCATTCTCAAACATCTACTGACGTTGTTGTAATCGTTCGATTCGCCGAGGTAAACGGTCTTGTGGATGAGCTTGTGTAAGTGTAGTTGGTGGAGAAGGTATCGATTCAAGTTTCAGCTGCTTCGCCGCTCATACGACTGTCAATTTTGACCGAACGGTAATTTGAATAGCGATACGCTATCGAGAGTAAAGTTGTATGATCGACAAACCTTTACGTAAAGCCGAATTGTCGACGGAAGAAACGGAGATTTGGTCCCAAAATTCTCCATTTCATCGGAAATCTAAGCCCAGTCGACAACGGCTTTTCCACTAGGCCCCTTTTAATTTCAAAATCCGGCGACACTTTTGAAATTACGAGGACGGATTTTATTTAAACGCTGGATAGCTCTATAAGGGCTCTTCAATGAGACGTTGTTTTAATCCAAAGTAGAACGCGTTCAGTTTGCTAAAATACTGAGGCTGGATTCTCTGATTCGGTTGCCTTTCAGTTAATTAGAAATACAGATGTACAAAACCATGGCAGAAACATTTCCGGAGCGAAAATCTATCGGCATCCGATTCAGATTTGGGCTATAAAGTATGCAAAGGCATGTTTTGCAACAATATTGTGCACAAATCGTATTAGGAGCTGTTAGTAACTACAAAATAATATGCATTGTTGCGAGTCGAAATGGATATTCTAAAACGGCCGGCCGAATTCAATAAGAAAAACTGTTAAGTGATTTTTAAGTTACTTCTAAGAAAATGGTGCTTTCTTCAACTGCTAATATTCAAGCTAACTTCACATGCTAATGGACCGCTAGCGGGAGGGGCGGCGGGATAATTTCTGCAAAAAGGTTTAAACATTTTTGTATGCCTCATATTGTAAGACAAAAATGCCACCGTATGAGTGACATTTTCAAATAACACCGACAAAATAGCATAACCACGAAATGTTAGAGAAAAATAGAATGAAATGTCACTCATACCACGCCAATGACACAAAAAAAATCTATTATTTAAAATGCTGTTACCTACGGGATGGTTGATGACACTTATTTCGTCGGTAGCTTTAGTCAGCTTCACTAATCTGGAGGCTAAACAAAATTTTGGGTTTCACCTGCGACAAATATTTCTGAAGGAAAGTGTCAATCATCTTGTATTATCGCAATTTCGTTATGACTTAATTCATCTATATATTGTTAATATTTTATATGACTATTACGGGTTTGGAAAGTTTATGATATTAGGTTTCGTGATCGCCTATGGTTGCTGTTGTTCCCAGACAGTAATCTAGGAGAAAAGCAAATTATTTCGATTTTTGGGTAATAATTCCAAACAAACGCGGAACTTCTCAATAGCTTCATCAGAATATTAATAATGAATTCGCGCACTTAGAAAATACCGGCTTAGTTGTTTGGATTTATTATCCTGGACTAATTGTAAGTGAAATCCGACATCGCAGTTTAAGTAAATAATCATCAAAAGCTTTCCATAATTCGCGACGCAAAGTGATACAAATATATTTATACGGACAACTGCTATTTAAATATTTTAAATTTGTTTCTAATACCCTACAGCTTTTTCACAAAACAAAAAATAACTCAAGTTGTTCGCATTTTAAATATGTAAATTTATTTAAATTAAATTTGCTGCAATGCAAACTATACGAATGCCGTTCCATCAGCAGATTGGTGCATCTAATTTTAAGGTACATAAACACAGTGCATTTTCGTAAAATAATAAATATACAGTCCTTTCTATTATACCTTATATTATATGGAATTTTTCGAAAAAGTTTTAAATGAGTGATAAAATGAAGCTATTCCAATCCATATTGTGAAACACAAATAACACATTTTGCACATAATGTGACTGTATAAGGTTATGCTTTCCTTTAATTTCGCATCAACTTTTTCATTAATATAAACCATGTAGATACATGTAATATAACATGCGCACGTTATTAATGTTAAAAAATGATAAGTGTTCATTACAATGTATCTACATCTAAAAAAAGTATTCATGTAATGAATAATCATAGTATTACAATATATACATATAATTTTTCTAAGCAATCGTTGTTTTAGGGTAGCTATTGAAACATAAAACTTTAGTTGGTAAGCTTTGCGAAAATTACAAGCGATCTCGATTTTGAATTGTCCATCTACCGTTTTGTTACATTTCTATTGTTTTGTTGATTATCAATTTGAATAAAAAATTCATAAAAATGAAAAGTCTATTATTATTACATTTCCTAACGCATTTCAATTGCGCTAGAATAATCGAAATAAATTCTAATTATATTATATGTACTTCCTTAGTTTGTAGTTGTAATAACCGAATATTCAAATCAAAATTGAATTGAATTTCGAAACCAGACAAATGATTTAAAAAGCAAAATTATTTATTTTGAACGGCCATAGAATGAAAATAAGGTTTTCCAAAAACATTGTGTTGTTGGTTTCTTTTATGCAAAAAAAAGTATAGTTTCTCTATTAATAAAACATATTTACTTCATTTGGACTTTTTTTTAAAATCCCAAATACTCACCTTAACAATAAATATTCATTCACTGACAATAACGCCATTGAACGTTAAAAATCTACGATACGCAATCACAGATTAAAAAAAAACTCGCTTTAATTAAATATTTTTATTATTAAAAACAAAAATATTTCGCGTGAAATTAGTGGTAAAATACTTCTCATAAAAAATAAATAAAACAAGGATTACTAATCGTAAATTGATCACACAGGCAATACATTTTATTTGGCAACCTTAAGAAATAATAAAAAAAAACGCTAAACCAAAAATTATTTTTTTGGTTTCGTTGCGGCCTTTTTGGGCTTGTCGACTTTTCGCGGAGGTGGTGTGGGGGCAGATGATGATTCCGTTGATGCAGGTGGTGGTGTTTCTGGAACGCTGGTCTCCTGCGCCGAACCTGGAGTAGTAGGAGGAGTGGACTCTATCACTTTCGCTTTAGGAGGTTCCGATGGTGCTTTGGCTTTTGTCAATTCTCCCTGAGCCTTTTCCAACACCACGGGTACCGCAGCTGCTGGGGTATCGACGTTTTTCTTATTTTCTGCGACCGCGGCTACTATTGGTTCACTTTGCTTTGGTTCTTCTGCGTTCGCGGGTGCTGTGGGCACACTTTTTAATTCTTCCGGGATCGCTGCTGCTCTTGGTTCACTTTTTAATTCTGCTGCGATCGATGCAGGCGTAGCTTCACTTTTCTTTGGTTCGTCTGCGGCTGCGGGTGTTGTTGGTTCAATTTTCTCTGGTTCTTCTGCCACCGGTGGCGTTTTAGGAACTATTTCAGATACTTTCGGTGGTTCTGTGGGAGAAATTTGTGATTGGTAGACTTGTGGAGATTCTAAATTAGCAGACTCCGTTTTTTGCGGTTCTTTAGTAGGCGGTTCAGAAATTGACAGTTCTTTCGCTTCCTTAGGAACTTCAGCGGGTTGAGGAGGTGAAGCGACTTCAACAGATGCTTTTTGAAAGGCCAAATTTCCTTGAGAACTTAAGGATTCCACGGGAGCTGATATTTTAGGTTCCTCTATATTACTCTTTGGTTTTTCAGTCTCTGTAGTTGCGACGGGCTTTGGTTGATCTATGATTTCTACTGGTGCTTGTGTTGGCGCATCCGAAAGTGTTTGAATAGGTTCCTTACCAGACGGTAACGGTATAGCTTTAGAAGTATCTACTGCATCCGGTACTCTTTCCGGTGCTACTTCTGACGCTGTAAAATTTATTTAACGTCAATTTAATCGTTTCGTTTTAAAATTTTTCGCCGCATAAACCGATTAGTATTTTACAAGCTAGGCGAGCGATTCGGATGCTAGGGAGGACTATTCCGAAAGCGTAGAACGATTTGGACATCGAGGTATAGGCGGAAAACACACGTTAAACAAACGATTTATTATTTTATAATGTACAAAACAATATTTAAGCGTTATGCGACATAACAAAAGCGGCTGGAATATTAATAATAATTTATCGTGGCAAACGACGTTAACTCACAATCCCATAGCGTCAATTTTTGCTAAGTTTTTTTCGCACTTTTCTTGCTCTTTTTTGTCGGTTTAACTTTCTTTTCGTTGCGATGCTTAATCTCGTCGCCAGGAGCCTCTGGTTAATGAAGCGGCACGAAAATAACATGTGATTAGATACATACCCCCATTATAGAAACGCACATACACAAAAGCCGAGAATACGACAAGGGATGCTAAAAAAATATCGAAAAAATCCGCACAAAGAAAAGCATGCAAAAGCGTATAACCCCACACGAACAAAATCGCAATAACACTAAACATTAGTCACACCTGTTGCTTCGGTAGTCGGTGTGACTGCTGCGATCGCTGGTTCCGGGGTAGGTTCCGGAGTGGGTTCCGGAGTGGGTTCCGGAGTGGGTTCCGGAGTAGCCACGGCAGCCAGCGTTTCCGATATTTTGCTCCAAATATTATCGAACGAATCTTTGCCTAAATAATCGATATTACCGACTTCCCAAGCTTGTTTTCTCATCAGACTTTCGAAAGCGTCTTGCTCGGCCGTCCTCGCTACACCAAGCGTCAATTGGGCAAAAGCTCCTGCCAAACCAGCCTGAAAAGGTTTTCCATATTTACGCGTGAAATATCCAAAAAAAAAAACAGAAATCTCGAAAAAGAATTTAATTTTTTTCTGGTCCCTATTTACAAACAAATTTTCTATACAACCAATGGTATCCAATTTTTTGCAATTAAACGATATTTAAAAATAAAATAAAATATGATTTAAAATTCTTCAAGTCATTTTTTTCAAGTTACTTTTTTCTTTTCAATTGTTTATAATCGCAAGCTGACACTCAAACGCGAATTATTCAGATACAGAGTATCCAAAACGAGAATGAAGACGGTACCTAAAAAAAATTCGAAAAAAATCAAAATCTCGAAAAGGCGTTTTATTTTTTTTTAATTTTATTTAATAGCAATTTTTCACTTTTAACTTCATCAAATTGTTGTAATTTGACTACACTTTTTTGTGTATATGAATTAAAATTATTGCAGTAATTTTTTCGTTACTTTCTATTTTCTTTTCAATGTATTGAAAACAGGTATTTCTATTTTCTTATGGAATTTTTGAAAAAAAAAAGGGAGAAACATTGTTAAGAAACGAAAAGCTCAAACAAGCAATACAGCGTGTCCAAAACTAGACTGGAGGTGGCGCGATTTAAAGCTTTTTTATTTTTTAAAATTGTTTTTGACAGTAGGTATTCTGTATTTTCGTCTGGGGTTTTAGAAAAAAAGGAAATATACGATTAAGAATGACAAGCTGAAAACTCAACTATTGGCCTTGCTGGTGCTTGTCTATTTACTACATTTTTCGCAACTGTTTAATTGAAGTACATTTTTTCTCCTTCAGTAACATAGCGTTGAAATAAAATTGCGGAACATCCGATGAAAAACAAGATATACTTACATCGTCGTTTCGTTCGTTATCTTCCACGCTTTTCAAGGGAATGTCATTGGAAGCGGTGGTCGTAGCCTCGCATTCGGTCGGTATTACAAGCTCGGAAGCAGAACAAGGGGTCTGGATTTCAGGGGGCGGAGTTCTGGGTCTATTTTCTAGGGTATTCTCGAAATTGGAAGGAATGTAACCGATCGAGTTATCGTGAAAATGTGTTGTGGATGGTGGAGGATTGAATTCGATTTCCTGGTTATAGTGTCTGGCAGGTGAAGATGACGAATAGGAATTTTGGTCGGGTTGCGGTAAGGGAATGGTGTACTCAATACGGTGACTTTGTACGTAAGGCTCGTGGTGTGGTTCGTTAATTTGCTCTTCTACGTGAGTAGTTTGTTGGTGTTGTTGGTAATGTACTTGTGGTGTAATATCAGGTGCTACGACGTCATTAATATGGTACAAGTCGTGTGATTGGTGCGATTGCGGTTGACTATAAAATGCGGGCTGATGTTCAGCAACAAAACCAGCACTTGTATTTGGAGATTCATTAGGCTGTGCGTGCGAAACCGAGACCGGTAGCTGAGTATTACTAGACTGTTGTCTCTGATCGTATTCCTCCCACGGATCCCAGACATTTTCATAGTCATCCGCGCATGATGACAATCGATAAGGGGGAACGTATTCGGGTGGGGGTTGGGACGGGTACACGGGATAAACGTTCTCCTGCGACCGGCCTTGAGGCTGAGAAAACACAAGCATGCAAAAGAAAGAAAAAAAAAACAAAATAAAAGGAACGTGTTAGGAACATCGCAAAGATAAAAATGATTAAACGGACGAAATTGTGCCATGCACATTTCAATTTGCGGGCCAACTGTTCTCGAAATACAAAGGCTTGTGCTGTGCTGCATCATGCCGGATTTTGTTGGTGGATAGATCGTCTCGCGTATACAGTGCGCCCACGAATTGACTCGACTATATCAGTAAAACTTTTTTTTATTAACTTTTCGCTGTCTAACAAGTCAATCCGTGAAAGCACTCTACTAAGGACGTATTTTTAGAAAAAAAATAAAATGTGCCGATTAATACGCCAAAAGCATGCGCAGTCGTGATAAAATTAGATAATTTCACTCAAAAGCCACACACAATACGTACCAAAAATGGAAAGTTGACTTCCACGAAATTTATAGATTTATACGAGACTCACCTCGCTTAGTTCACTGTTCGAAAGAAACTCCGTGAGATGCTTGCATTAATTTCAAAACGACATTATTATCATGAAAGTCAGCACTTTTGTATCAAATTCGACGCGCTTTACACGAAATTAGAAACAATCAACACTGCATACCATATTGGGTGTGAGCTGAGGATGAATGAGAGAGCAAAATATGTCCCACCAACGCTGAAGCACGTCCTGCAAATGGCTAGACTCCCCTGAGGGCTGTACTTTTCTGGTCTCCGGGTTAAAATATTGCAACCATGGTTTGGTAGCTCCAATGAAATGGATTATTTTCGCGTTGCCGCCGAACCTATAAATAAATATATCAAAAATGAATGAAAAGCCCTGGGGTAATGGCGGAGTTATAATTACTGTTTAAACGCCGGTAAATACGAATAAGAAGCGGTGGAGCACATGTTATATATGAACGGCAAATGTTTGCTTATATCTTGGTGTGACCAATCGGAGAAGTACAGATTCAAAAGACCTTGATCTCCACCTAAAAATAAAGGAAAAAAAAACAAAAAATACCAGAGGTCCGCATAGGGTTTCTTAGGGAAAATGCGGAACGCGGTTGTGCAATGCAAATTCAGGTATTGCCGTATCGTGGGTAAGTCGAGAATAGAAATTTCAAGGTCAATATCTTCGGTACGCGCCAACAGGCGACGTCGCATCTGGCCAAGTGTAAAAGCAGATGCATTCGATGCACTTGAAACACGTTATGCAGGATTTACGTTTGCTTAGGGGAGTACCGAAATAAATCGTAAAATAAGATAGACCGCCTATTTATAGTAACCAAGAATCTAGCTCTTTCGAAGCATTCGCGTACCAGGATCGGGCCTACTTATATGCAATACGAAATCAATTAAAAAAAACTGTAGACGAAAAAAAAAATGCAGAACTTAAAATAACGGAAATCATATAGTAAATAAAAAAGGGTAAAATATTTTCTAGAATAGAATAGTCTCAAACCATTTCTAAATATTTTGACTCAAAATTTGAAACGAATGAATAGACATACAAGTAAAAATCACATAGTTAAAAATGCACAAGAATACGTGGTGTTGTTTTGTTTAAAATTTCAATGTTGTTTGTAGTTTTTTAAGCTTGAGACACCATTTAAGTAAATTCCAACGGCTCATTTTGAGCCTTACGACTTTTGAATAACTTTTTTGTTTGTAAAATTGGGAATAAATGTTCTGGGAAATAACTAGTAAAATCAAAGAATTTGATTTTCGTAGGATATTTCGCAGTCCGCCCTTGACATTTAATTTAAATTTAAAATACAATACTATTGAGAAACTGGCAACTATGTATAATTTTTGTCAATAAATTACTAAACAAACAAACTTTTTTTCAAAGAAGCGTTTACGAAATCATGATGTAAAATTTAAGAGAGGAGGATCTATTAGATTTTTGGTAATAAGACACTGTTATTAACAAATTGTCACAAAATATGATTTTCTAGTTTAATTAGTTTTATTGTTACCTGAAGAACCTCATAAAACTAAATAACAAACATAGCTGTATTACCAAAAAATGATTTTGGGAGATAAAACATGTCAAAAATAAAATTTGATAAAAGTAAACAAGAAATATGCAATAAAACAAAACTTTGACTTGAAATTTGAAACGCCATTTAATAATATTTCTGATAAAACGTAATGAGAAAGTGTTTAGAGAATAAAAATATGTTTTGTATTAAGAACTTTTTAAAATCGCCAATTTTTCAATTTTCCCTCGTAGCTTGGAAACTGCGGGTACTATTCAAAATCTAACTATTCCGTTTTAGTAAAGCTGTAGACAGTGGAGCATACCTTGTACATAACTGTATTAATATCGAAATCAAAAACAACACAAAACATTGCCAAAACATTTACATAAATTTAGGCGATACGCACATTTTCCCAGGTCTATATTTAAATGATTCGATAGTTCTACTGCCAAAAATATTTACCATCGAAACTTCCCTTTTCCAAAGCGAATTGGATCAGTTTCTCAAAGGTTTCGTTCGAAGGACGATAAACAAATACTCCCGAATTAAAACAATCGGGCCAACCGACATCGGGAGCGGCCGAAAACTCTTCCCTTTCGAATAATTCATCACAATTTTGAAGCACCTATAATCCGGTTAATTTTATACCGGGAACCCGACACGTCGAGTCCGGTTTTATCTTTTTTCCTACATACCAACGTGTCTGCGTCCAAAAATACGCATTTGTCGTACTGAGTGAGACGCCAACAATGCAGTTTCGTGAACGTAATGCCGAGTTCGGGCCTTTTCAATAACCTCAAATTGGTTTCATCCCTTGAATCGAGAACGTTGACTTCTTGCACCAAATCGAATACGGTCGACAATTTTTCCCTAAAAACCGGTAATGGTAAAATTACCAAAGGAGGTGGCGAAAATTAAGGACGCCACTTTCACGTTACTTATTAATAATATTGCACTTATCTCGAGATTTATACTATCTATATAACAGCTTTTTTCGAAATAAGCAAAATTAAAAAAAAAACACACACAATTTGTGGAAGTAATTGAAGGTAAAATGGATCTTAATAAATGAAAATATATTTTACTGGTTTCTTTTCAAATATAATTAGTATGGCGTAGTAAAAAATCATGCAAATTTAAATGGATTGGATTTTGAAGGACTTTTCTACAACAAAACTATAAAAAATCGCAAACATGCTCTAAATTTGTTCGATTCATAGTTTACTTATGTATATAAAAAGTGGGGGGTTCTGGATTTTAGTGAGCGCTCATCAATTATGCTTTATACCTGATGAAAGAATATTGTAAATAAACATAAGGAATTGCACTTAATATTTCGTTTAATCTCGCGAAAAAGGAAATAAATATTAACAACATAATTGAGGCACCATAGTACAATAACCAAACTTTTAAGTTTTCGTTTTATCTAGTGAAAGTAATAAGTTATCTACATAATAATATATATCTATATAATATACGCTAACAAAATAATGGAGGATTAATCATTTAATTTAATTTTAAAAAATGTACTTTGCTTAGCGAAATAATTGAGAAACAATCGAAATGATCGAATATGATTATTTCATTGTTTAATCAAATTAAATTAAAGTATACATTGATATTTTTACGTTAGAAGATACGAGAAATAAACAACTATTTCAAAATATGATATCGTTCTTGTATTGCCTATATTATAAAACCAAAAAGAAATGAACCCTTCAATAATAATGAAAATATAATTTCTGTGTAAATAAAATCGGTGTAATTTAAACCGTGAGATCAATACTATGAACAGAAACGATTTTGTCTATTTTAAAGTTTCTGAAACTTTAAATAGTTTTCGTTCTGCAGACAGTGCCGTGCGGCAAATACAAACACAAGCTCATTGAGAAAGTCGATAAATATGTCACATAATTAACATTTTGCCGATAAAAATAAAACGTTAAAAAAAATGTTGCATAACCGATATAGAGCGGCGCCTTCGCTAAACATTATTGGGGCGTAAATATAATTAATGATTTGAAATGATGCCAAAAATTAGTTTTTTTTTTAACTCGACGGCTACTATAAGCTATAAATAAACTTTTATCATTGATAAAAGTTTAATCCGATTCGGCATTTACGGCACCATTACCTCATCTAAAAACGTAAGATATTCGTAAAATTTACTAACGAAATGGTTAATCAAAATATAATAATTCTGTGCCATTGATATCTTGTGTTACAGAAGATCTTTTATTTCAAAGAAAAAGTTACCTCATAGCACCGGTAACCCCCGGCGTTACCAAAACCGCTAAATTCTGGGCAGTTCCAGCTTGCTTCAAAGAATGTGCCAGAACTAACGCCCCCAATGAGTAGGAATCGTTTGTTGCCAACGTCACCCATGCAAAACCTATTAAAAAATATATTATATTCATAAGGTTCAAAAGCGCCCTTTAAGTCATACTCCGCCTATCGTAAAGACACAATAATAATAATAATAATAATAATAATAATAATAATAATTTATATAAACCACCAGAGAATTAATTGAGAGGGGAAATATTGAAATATTTTTTCTAGGACACTCTATAATTTACGTTCAAATATCACATCCCGTACAATGAACAAAAATTGATAAAAACTAAACCTTTAATAAATTGTTGGTCGTAATTTTGGAAACGCTGATAGGGAGACCTTTAACCACTACACACATTATACGGCATTTTGAACAGCCCACGGAGCCGATGCTCCAAACAAAAACAGAGCTGCCACGTTTTTTGTTCTAATTTTTTATTTAGTGATTTTATAGGTGTGAATTTCGCTGGCCGAATACACCAATGGCAATAAATATGCGAATCGCAAATTAAATTAATTTTAGAATACTGCGTGTTTATACACAACGTGTAACCCATAGGTTTATTTTTAGTTACAATGTTGGACGGCAGTATTAAAACTATTTTGGAAATTTAAATATCTCCCACATAAAAATCGCAAAATCTCTTGGCTCTGGTTCATCATGAAATCAAAACGGAATCGTTTCGAATGCGGAATTTAGCGCAAATACATTCGATTTGAAACTTGACCATCGGTAGTTTTTTTTATGGTCTATTTTAAAATTCTCAGGAGATAATCGATAAATTTAACAGTACTGGTATACAATTAAAAAGAAACATCCGAAATTATAATTAAAATTGCTAGCTAGACAGAAAATACGACATAATTTGTTTGCTTATAAATAATTCGTAAGGCAGGTCAGTCCTCGACAAATACCAAAAGTTTTACGACATTTAAAAAACATTAACATCGTGGGATGAATAAAGAAAATACGTTACATAATGACAGAAACCTGGTGGGATGTTATTTGTTGCCTTTTATAAAGGACTTCAAAATCCCTACTACCTCCGACGAAAATTCACCACCAACAACTTAATCAAGCGCCAATTCGGAGAAATTCTCAAAAATATAACCTAAAAAAAAGGGGGAATCGATGTCGAGAAAAACCGGGACAAAAAGTATGCAAGTGCGCAAGGAAACAGGGTCACAAGGTCTTAGTATTTAAAACCGAACATTTTCCGAGGATATCAGGGCGAAACCGTCTCACCTCCCATCCTGCAACGACGAAAAAATCACAAAACCACCACACTAACTCCTGCTGCCGGAACGAGCAGCGGGTTTTTCCTACGAGACTTTACGAAAATAGGCGCAAAACGGCTCGACAGGGAATGCGAGCGCAGTTACGATATAGTAGAATCGTTTTAAAGTAATTTTATTTCTGTTTGGCCGATCCCAAGGATGTCGCGGTGGTGGGAAGCTCCCAAAAACGCATGTGCTCACAACGTCAACGCGTATTCACGAGACGAGAATAATATCATTGATACGATTGTTTAACGTTATTATTTACTATTTTAGTAATATTCGATCAAAATCAGGTGCGTGCTATTCACAAGAATTAAGGCAGGTCAAAAAATAGATTCAGCTGATTGTGTCTGATCGGCTCGAAGAAACTACCAAAAAATTTAATACGACAACAAAGCTTTAAGTACTGTAAGATATTTATGTCAATTAGCCCTCATCCGTAATGACTAAAATTGTCTAGATGTGGGTAATCGAAAAATATAAGGGCCAGCCGAAAGAACTTTTATTTTATTTGGACTGCGCATTTTGACTCGACTTCGAACCGTAACGCAATACATATCAAAAATATATTTTGATATTATGTACGTTGGGTGTACGTGCGAATACTTGCCACACAATATTAGTAGATTAAAATTTAGACCCACATTGTTAATAACCTTCACCTCTAAGTTTATCAACATTCCACCTATCGGTCATTTTCGCACATATTCTCTTTATCTCTCGCATGTTACGCTGCGAAGTGGGCAAGTCAAATGATGTCAACTGGTAAGATAATGTTATCGTAAATACCGCGCTCAAACAACGATAAAAGAGATACAATTACGTATAAAAATTATGGTTATTAATAACCGAAGAAATGAAATATTCATCTAAAATAAGCTCTTTTCGACGCAAAGAATAATGAAAAGAATAGTAAAATTCACAACATATTGGCGAATGCGCAAGAGCAGAATTGCAGAAGAGTTTGATGAAATCACCAAGTACTAAAACTTTGAACAGTGAAAAAAATTGGGAGCGACAAATGCTAACCAAACTAACAAAAACTTTTAGACCCAGCGTCATTTTGACTAGTAATATACCGAGGAGGTACCATCATATACCCCGGCAGTTGCTCAAACTTAAACACCTCCTTGCGCATTCTCCATTTCGTAAATTCTTAAAGCACCAAAGTAAAATAATTAACGTTTTTTCTAAGAATTTTATAATAATTACAAATAGTAATTCAACGAAACACAAACTGCAATATTTTTAAATTTAATCTAGCGATCAAGTGAATTGTTAGAGAGAATTTTTTATACCTGCTTTGCATACACGCAAATATATCTAGTTTGAATTTCTCCTACTAATATATTTTTTAAGAGAATAACAACGCAATTTTTTCCATAAAACTTCCATTAAGTGGCAAAGTATAAAAAAACATAAAAAATGGCAAATTTAAAATAACGATGAAAATTTGATGCAAAAAATAAAGAAATGCACAGAACTGGTGGAGGGACTTTTGTAAGTTGTTATTTAACCGTTTTCACGTGCCAATTGAGCATTTAAATAATTATATCCATTAAAAAATAATCGTATATCTTTGAGCCCTGTTTGTTTTTTATACATAGTCAATTTTTTTAATTTTACGAACCAAAATTATTACTTATTACGTCTTCTTTTATTCCATAAAATAAAGATATTTTTTTATTATCAATTTAACTATAAAATAAATTCGGTTGAAATCATGCAACATCTTTCAATGCAATTGAAATACATCTAGGGCTAAATTTTTTATTCTCCACTAAAGTAAACTATTGAATGTAAATAAAGATAAATGATTTCATCAATAATTAACGAAATAATTACGTTCTATTGAAGTAGTCCAATAAGAAATCTAATTTATATGATCTCGGGTTGCATCTATTTGTAAACTGCCCAGTTGATCGTATTCTAGACACAACCAAATATTAGGACGAACTAGACTCGGAATATCAGCATACAGGTAGGGAGCAGCCCAATTAACGCAAAAAAAAGGAAATAATTTTCAGTGGCGAAAGCAAACTTCATAATTTTAATATTAACAAAGACCTTAAAAAAATAGTGAGAAGTTATTAAGCGCTACAATAGTATTAATAATAACATAACCCGCCAAAAGTAACAAGTTTCGAAGAGAATTTAGATAAAATTAATTTAATGAAAAAAAAAGCAAATTCATTGTGGCAAGTTCCAAAAGATTATGAAAAATAAAACGAATAATACATTTATTATGAATTGTCAAACGAAATAAAATAATTTAATTAAATTTAAAATACCTTTGGATTCTACAACAAGATTAGTTCAATTGTAATCTAAATAATACACGTTCAAATAGCTAACCAGTGAAGATCGTCGGTATTGTTATACGTCCTTCGAAATGACCCAGAAACTAAAACACCCACTATTTTTATATTTTGAGAATTATTTTTTGTTGCACATTTGGCAGAGGCAGCCATTTATTTTCAATCAAATAATGTAAAAATATTTAAAAATTGGAAGGTTGCGTGAGTAAAAGTATCCAAACGATGAGCTTGGGAATTGCCAAAAATCTAAAATTACTCTGAAAGAGTGGGACTAAAAACTATAGCCCAAAATGTTAACGTTTTAATAACAAGCGAATGCAGCACATAAAAAGAATATTAAATTACAGAATAGAAATAGAAGAGAATTCGGACATATCCTTGTCGATGGAAAAGTACTACAAAAATTGATATAAAACCCTGCGACTTTAATAAAGCTTTGCTTGTATTGTCGTTTGTCATCTTACTTCCAAGCGTACTTTTCGTTTTATTTAATTATGTTTTATATATTTTCAAGTGAACGCAGAATCTCTCTCCATATAAACTGTAATCCTAAAACAAAAAGTGAAACTAAAAAAACCTATAAAAAGCTCTTCCATTTTTAATTAGTTAAAAAAATATATAAAAAATAAAAAATATCGTTTCTCATTGACGATGCTTCTTTTATTGAACATTTATTTTATATTCGCGTCTCATTGATATGTTTTCTACATTTAAAGACTTTTGCATAAATTAAACATTCTAGATATATTCTCTAATGGTAAATGAGACAATGACAACATATTTATCAAAGTACATTTATACAATGAGAATTATGAGATTAGATTAGAAAACACAGGATGTTGGTACAAGAAAAACAATTTTTAACCTCGCTCTGTGCATATATGTTCAAATAAGATTGAAAGTATGAGTGCTTCTTAAGGACCTAGGGGACATTTTCAACGTTACGGCCCTGTCGTACCGGTGTCTCACATGGATCGAACTTCGCGCATCGTAGCAGGCAGCAGAACATCAGACCAGTGCCCTCTTCAGAGGTCTAGAGGGGCGAACTTCTGCCAAAGTGAAATGTTAATTCAGTGTTGCGATCGTACTCATGGCGCTAAAGGATGACACCTAGTGCACGCCACTCTTCGGTAACGGCCACCGAAAAATTCACGTCGCCGTCATGGCCGACTCGAGTTTGGAAACGCAAATCGATTGTTTTTTGGAGCAATTTAAAAGGAGCGCCTCCAAAGCCATGGAGGAACGAGCCGGTTTGGAGGGATGCAGGACCTCCTATGTAGACTCTGAATCTCCAGGTAATAAACGCGTGTACAAGTCGTCTCGAACAATCGAAATTTCACATTTAACGGTGCAGTTGCAACTGCACAGGAAACGACCACCGCACGTTACTCATTCATACGAGAACCCCTTTTCTTTCCCCTATATGGTTCAATTTAACTTGACCGGGCAATACTTACATACCCCTCGCTCTATGCAGCACCGAATTAACAGCTTTTAGGGGCGTTATTTTCGTTGGAAACAAGCCAACAAATTTATATTGCCGATAAAGTGGTTAAGCGTGGCCGGTAAACGAAAACAATCGCAACATTTTCCAAATAAACATTTGCGCGCGTTCAAAAAAATGAGCAAAATTTCATTACAACGTACCAAAATATTTTTTCGCATTTCAAGTTCACGGAAAGACGACCATGAATAATATAGCAGTGGTTATGGTGCTTCGTGTTTCCAAAATCGTTTCAAACATATAATATAATATGAGGTAAGTGTGTACAATACAAGCACAACGTAAAACTATTGAGCTGGACATTTTGTTTTCGTACATTTTATATCTGGCGCGAATTTTTGTTTCGAAACTGGCCGCCGTG